AAAAAAAAAAAAAATTGTCATTGGAAGTCATATAGACTATATCATTTTATGTCTTCTTGAGTTTGCTTCNCATAATATAAAAAATTGTCATTGGAAGTCATATAGACTATATCATTTTATGTCTTCTTGAGTTTGCTTCTCCTGAATACATAAATACATACATATGTGTAAATATACACACCCTTATATACATATATACACACACATATGGATACTGTCAGAGCTTTTTAAGTAATTAATTTGAAAATGTCTATCTATTTATTGTTAATGAAATAATAATTACTTATGGTTCTAAGTGAAACATTAAAAATTAAGATTCTGAAATAACTATACAATTAAAAATTGGAAACACAGGTGTGGATACATTTGTAACGTCCATTGAGGAAGTGATTTAAAAGGAGCAGGCACTGAAAAAGAAGGTTATATTTAATATTAACTCACAGTATTTTTTGTAAATACAATATATTAATAATACAGCTATTTTTGTACCTGAACGTTCCATAAGAATAGCTTCCTTAATTTTACACTGCTCAGTACATGTTAATATTCGGTTTTTTATTTCTTCCATTTCTGTTTTATTCTTATAATACTCTTGAGCAAGAGGAGTTTCTGAATACTGTAGCTGGTATTGCTTCAAGACATCTTTATACTGTCTCACATACTCATGATACATTTTTCTGTTAAAACAAAAAAGTGGAAATCGATAAACAACATGGAAGATACATATGTGAGTAAACTGGTAAATAATTTTTCATTGCTTTCAAAATAAGTAGATAAAACATTATAGATGCAAAAATAGTAAGTATACTATTCAATTAAGGCAAATACATTCTAATTATGTTCCTATATAATTATAATACCAGATATCATCCCATATCACTTTGGAAGCATTATTGAATTATCCATAAATTTATACTTTTAAAATATCAGCAAAATGGACTCTCACAATACACATGCTGACAATCCCTTCTCTATTATTAATAATGCCAAATCCCAGTTCCAAGAGCTTGCCAGCCTCTCTCCCTCGACGCTGGCTGTCTTTATCTACTCAGAGGTGGTCCAGACCTCAGATCATATTTATCAATCCTTCCCACAAGGCACATTTTAGACAACATATGTAGACATATAAAACCTACAAAAGCAGCATATTCTTTATAGTGACAACACAAACAATCCCAATGAGGAAGAAAAGGAGACTGCCAAGAGAGATCAATGTGAACATAACAGGCTGTCCCAAAAGTCTAGCTTCAAACTACACTAAGACTTTTGGGACAGTGTTTATAGTCAGATAACAAGCATTTATCAAGCACTTACTATGTGCTAATAAGCACTGGAGATACAAAGAAAGGCCAAAAGCAAAGTCTCTGCACTTGAGAAGTGTACATTTCAATGGTGGAAAAATATAAACAATTAGGTACATATAAGATATATATATAGAGAGAGAGAGCAGATGAAGGTAATCTGAAAAAGGAAGGCATTAGCAGCTGGAGGAACAAGAAGAAACTTCCTGCAGAAGGTGGGATTTGAACTAGGTCTTGAAAAAGTTAAGGGAAACTAAGAGGCAGAGATAAGGAGGCAGAGCATTAGAGACATAGGAGATGGTCAGTCTAAAAGCATGGAGGCAGAAGATGGAGTACAATGCTCAAGATCATTGTAGCTAGATGGTAGAGTATGTGGAAGAGAACAGATATAAAAAAGTCTGGAAAGGTAGGAAAGGGCCAGGATATTAGTAGTTTTAAAGGACAGAGGACTTTTTATTTGATCCCAGAGGTAATAGGGAGCCACTAGAATTCATTAAGCAGGGGGCAAGGGCAACATAGTCAGACCTCCCTCCACTTAAGAAAAATCTGCTTGGCAGCTTATTGAGAGTAGAAGAGACTTGAAGCAGGAAGAGCAAATATAAAGCTACTGCAGTAGTCCAGGTGATGAGACCTGGGTAAGACTTGTAGTTCTATGAGCAGAGAGAAGGGTACATACATGAGAGGTGATATAAAGGTAAAAATGTCAAGATTTGGCATTGAATATGCAAAGTGACAAGTCAATAATAACACCAAGGCTACAAACCTGGGTGACTGGAAGCACAGTGGTACCTCAAAGGGAACTCACAGTAAAACTTGGATTTTAAAAAGACATATGCAGAAGATGAAAATATGGACAGATAACTGAGAAAAATTAATTACAAAAAAGAGGCAGGGTCTTGTAAGCTTGTAAGATGTTGAGCTCTAAAGCTTAGAACAAGTTGAGGCTGGCAATGAATGCCAAGGATAACAAAAAGGGCCTTTTTAAGGTGTGTTAGGGGAAATAGAAATATTGAAGAAGGAATAGCACCACTGCCCTGGGTGCATGGGATTATGACAATGGGCAAGAAAACATAACTACTCAATTTCATTTTCCAAGAAAAAGACTTTGGACTGGTAAAAGGGAAAAATAAGTAAAATATGGACTGAGCCCTCATTGGGAATCCTGGGAATTATATTTTCTCTCTGCCTTGGGAAACACTGGGCAATCTATCACGGATTGTGAGCTGGCATACAGTTTCTATTTCAAGGAGAGCTTCTGAATTGCTGTGAATAAGAAAGAGTAAGAAGAGAAAGGGTGCAGATACACAGCTGGACAGATGGTTAAGGCAGAGAAGGAAAGGAAAGAAACTAACAAGATGATGTTGAGAGTGTCCAGGCTACACTAAGGAGTTGGCATCTTCTTCCACAGACAGCAGATGAGACAGCTGTGACCAAATCATGGTTCATTCCTGATAGTGAACTTGCCCTTGGCCAAAAATTCAGGTCTCTTTTTCCTTTTCTTGTTTTCTCCTCCCATTCTGACCAAAAGTATGGATATTTAAATCCAGAATTTTCACTCATTAGAAAGTTGTTTAATTTGCTGTTTTAATAGTATTTTAAGGCAACTTTCCCTAGATAATGATAAAATCAATCTTAAATTGTTTTTGACCTATATATGTCATTACAAACAGAACATAATGGAAGATGCCAGTGATTATCTTAGTTTACACAGAATAATAACCCAGAACAGAAGGGCCATACCTCTATCCAGAAAAGTTAGAGGAATCTCTAAATTGAGGGCCCTGAGTTTAGGACTTTATCAATAACCCGCATTAATCATATCCCCAAAGTAACAGAAAAATTAATCCACATCCAGCCTTGGCACTCACACTTCATCTGTGCCCTCTACCGCTCTAACTGCACATGGATAGGGCCGTGAACTCTAAAACCTCCATTTAAGGAGAGGGCTCCAGATAAATGTCTCCTTATTTTCTACCTAACTGCCCAGCTTTGGGATTTTTCTTAACTTCTCCATCATGCTTCTGCTCAAGTATGTTCTTGGGGCTACCCACTTTTCAGCCTTCTTTTGTGTGTTATCTTCCCCCATTAGGTTGTAAGCTCCTCGAGGGCAGTTACTGTCTTTCTTTTTTGTATGTATTTGTATACCCAGAGATTACACAGTGCCTGGCACATAGCAAGTCCTTAATAAATGTTTATTGACAATTGACTAAACAAAATATTTGGTCTCTTCATTCGTACAAGTTATTCAAAATAAAATTCAAAATCAAAACTCATCATGGTATGGAGATGATGCAGTTCTTCAAAGCTATGCGAGCAGAACGAATGCCCTTCTAGTGAACTAAGACAGGAGTCATTGGACCAAGGGTTTACTATGATGTCCCAAAGGGACCATGAGGATCAGTAAGTGGTTGTTGGGTCATCTCAAAGAACAAGTCCTTCAGTGCTAAGCCAGAGCACATGTGGCACACTGGAAGGGGCTAGGGCACATAATCACCCCCCACCCCTACCCCTATTACATAATTAACACATAAAACATTCTTCTCTTTTAATTGTGCTTAAAGTATAATTAATATTCACTCCTAAAATATCATTTCAATGTAAGGATTATGTTACATTCAACATTATCATAATCTTATTTTGTTTTATCATCTATGAACTACATGCAATCCCTTTCTTTTCCTTAACAATACACAACTCACCAGCTAAGTAAAGTCCACAAATGGGTGGAAACAACAAATACTGTTTCTAATCCTCCAGAGTTTAAATGTAAAGACCACTAGTCAAAAAAAAATTCTTGCTACACTGATTGCTCTTAGAAAAGGGGTCATAAACAAAGGTCTATTTGTGCATATAATAGGTTACATGGTATTTGGCAACACGGGAGCTGAAGCGCACTTTCACATAGTCCCAGAGAGCAGCCAGGATTCCCAGACTGACTATAGAAAACACTCCTGACCCACTTGACATGGAAAGAGTCCACTTTGTTTTCTGGATCTGTGGGTTGATTCAAATATATTAAAATCTGTGAATGAAAAGAGATGCCCATGGTTTGAAAACTACATGCCTATATTTATATCATGCTGATACACTCATCTTCTGACAATCTACCTGTGCTCATATTCCATCTAAATGTCTCATATTTTTATGTGTACTTGGCTTTGCTCCAAGGACATGTGTATAAAAACCCTAAGGAGACCTTGGGTACAGAGATCCCAACAATGATGCCAGCTGTCATTTTCCTCTCACACTTACACAGCTTTTGTAGCACACCCTTTGGAGATCATTGATCTATAGCCTTAGGACTCAGTTGCTAAACATCAGAAGCAATATAATCCACAAAGAAGTGCTAACACACTTACTTTTTAAAATTTCCTTGAACACAAAGTGTTTTCATTTCAATTAGCATTCTTACAATGTCCTATTTCTTATTACTAACAATTATATTGTTTATTGATTTGAATTAGCATTGTACAGTACTTGTCTTTTTCAGTAGTTTCCTGTTGCTTCTGAAGTTGGTCCTGCAAATACTCTTCATGTTTATGAAGAACATCATGTGTTGGCCTCCAGCTGTGGAACAATTTTATATTCATTAAGAGCATATCAGATGACGATAACAAAAGTAAATTTTAGAAAATAGATGTACCCAATGAAGGGTGTCAATTTTCTTCTCTTTGAGATGACTTTCACAATTTCACATGAGCTTAAATAAGAGAAGATAACATTCCATACTCTATGTATCCACACACAAATGTGGGTTTTTTGGTTTTGTTTTGTTTTTTGGATAGGCAATGGGGTTAAGTGACTTGCCTAGGGTCACACAGCTAGAAAGTGTCAAGTGTCTGAGGCCAAATTTGAACTCAGGTTCTCCTCACTCCAGGGCCGGTGATCTATCCTCTATGCCACCTCGCTGCCCCCAAATGTGTGTGTGTGTGTGTTTTTAAAGAATATTTCCTTTCATATGCAAACTGGTTTGGAAATGTGGATGGGAAGAGGCAAATATGAAGAAAGCTGCCTACAGAAAGTACTGCTATGCTATTTCGGCTCCAACATGCTTTTGTTCCTTTCTAACACCCAAAAGCCAGTTTTTCTTTGTCACTATGTATTTGAAATATTAACTCAATATTTCTTTTGGGGGCAGCCACTTCAGAGAACCAGGTAGGGGGTGAGGAGAGGTTTTTCTATCCTATAGAAACTTAGAAAGGCTTGTTGTTACATCTTCCAAAACTAAAAGGAGAAAATCAACCCCAGTGTCAGCTCCAGACAATTAAAGAGGGAAATGAACTACAATATGAAATACATTTTTTTTCTTTACATGGCCTGGCCAGGGTGGGGGTAGGGGGCGCTGTGGGGGAGAGGACCTTACTAATATGAAAACCACAAAATCTTATAGCAGTTTCCATTTTAAGTATTAGATAGATTCTGCCCATTGCTCACTGTTTGATCTCAATACCATACCCTAGTGCCTTGAAATTCTCATAAATCTAGGTTTCTGTCTTTCTCTTATGTTGATATCCAGATTTTCTTCCATTTTCCCAGTAGTCCTTATATAAGCCTTGCAAAATACTTGCTACTTACGTTTTTTTACTCTGGGATATCTAACCTATAACTATCTAATCACAGTCATGATAAAACACTATTTTCAAAGAAATAATTTTATTTTCAAGCACAGAATATAACAAGGATTCCACAATTATTTGTATATAGGCACTCAATATTTTGACATAAAAATAGGTATCAGTAAAATGAAGCAAGTTAAAAACCTAGTATTGACAATATGATTATCTGACATAATGCATAGAAATATTTTAACCTAGAAGAATTAACTATTGGACCCAGAAATTAAATGTTGAAGGAATCTTTAATTTCTTGAATATTTGTTTGTAAAAGCTATTGATTTTTAAATAGGATTCTCTTCATTTACAAAGAAGATCCTGAAAATGGATAGAGATAGAAATTATTTCTAACATTTTACTCAAAAATAATCTTGCATTCACTAAATTATCTAAAATTTGGGGTTAAAAGGGTTTGGTTTAATGGGGTCTGAATTAATGAAATGTTGCTGTACATTCTTTTCTACATTGGTAAATGAATTTAAATATTTATACCTCATCAACTATTGCATTTGTCAATGCAGGATACTTCCTTATGTTCCTAAAACTTCCAGAGACATACTTTTAGCTGTTACCCTTATTTAGAAACCCTAAATAAAAGAAATTAATAACAAAAATAAAATTTCATCTCTTTCAAGTACTTACTTGGTATGGTCACCCTTCATATATTTGCTATCCTTACTGTAATGAGCAATTTCATCATCAATTGTGTTTATTTTGTCGTGTAGAGTAAAAATATTCCTCTTTATTTCTCTTATATTTGTACAGAGTACTGAAAATAGAATATATTTTACCTAAATATACTTATCAGAGGGCCAAAATAAGCTTATATGTTAACTGATCCCACATAAAAAACTTATTATTTAATGAGACCATGAAATTGAATACATTCAAGGGTGATGCACAACTTCTAAATTCAGAATGAATATCACACATACCATTCAAACATATAGCCACTATCCATGAAGTTCTCACTCATTCCAAATAGAGTAATACAAATGAAAATATTAAAATCAAACCAAAAACTCTTAATACTCTGCAATTTTAGACTGTGGGAAAAGCAAACAAATTCATTTTTTTTTTGAAGAATCAAGAACTTAATGGGTTTTTTCTTTTATTATTCTTCAATCACCATTTTAAATTTTATTTTTATTGATATCTTTTGTTTTTATATCATCTTCATTTCTAAATATATCACCACTTCCTCCCTTACCCAGCAAGCCATCATATTTAACAAAACAATACTTAATACTTAAGTTCTTGTTGTACACTATTATAATGTTTGTCTCATGGGTACTTAGTGATTTAAAGCTATACTGAACGAGACAAAAGCACGGCTGCATTCAGATGAAGCCATTCTTTGCTGAGAGAATGCTTTTTTCATTTTCCTCTTTTTGTCTAGACCTTAAGTACTAACACAAATAAAAAGTACGTATCATATAAAACTACTTACAAGTAATCTGTTGTTTTGCATCTTCCTTAGCATTTGAATCTTGCTCAGACTGGAAAACTAAAACAGATAATTTTTTTGGTTCACTTCACTGGTAAAATTTATTATTGAATAAAATAAAAAACCATCATTATTTTTTAATTTTACTTTGTAACTTACCCAGTTCTAGCAAAAGTTTGTCTAAAGCGATAAATTGGTCAGTCATTTTGGATACTTTGGGGGAAAAACAGGGGAAAAATCCATTACTAACAATTATGAGAGAATTTTCTGAAAGTAATATACATCCTTATACTCTAAGTTTTTTTGGTGAGGCATTTGGGGTTTAGTGACTTGTCCAGGGTCACACAGTTAGTAAGTGTCAAGTGTCTGGTCTAAGATCATATTTGAACTCAAGTCCTTCTGACTTCAGGGCTGGTGCTCTATTCACTGTGCCACCTAGCTGCCCCTCTGAGTTTTTTTTGTTAAGTTACTACTTCTCCCTGTCCCTGTACAACAACAAAACAAACTTATTTCTAAAAGAACAAGTTTTTGAAACTATTAATAAATAGAGGCCTCAATAGGTGAGAGAATGTTTTAATTGTTAAATCAACTGACAAGTATCTATGTACTGGACAATATATTAGGTCCTGGGAATACAAAGACAAAAACCAAACTGTCTCTGCCTCAAGGAGTTTATAATCTATCAGAAGCAACCACATGCACATATAAATAAACAGAAGCACTAGCATGTAGGTGGGGAGAAATCATTAATGACCTCATGTCGTAAGTAGCATTTGAGCTGAGCTTTCCAGGAAGCTAGGGATTCTCTGAGGCAAAGATGAAAGGAAAAAGCATTCCAAGCAAAGGAGATAACATGTACAAAAGTTTAGGAAGGGGAGACAGAATGTCACAAATGGGGAAAAGAAAGTAGACTAATTTGGATGGACTATAGAGTGTGTGAAGAGAAATAAATGTAAGTTTGGAGTTCAAATTGTCAAATGGCAAACAAAATAGTTTTGTACATTTTTGTTCCTAGAGGCAAGAGGGACACTGGAGTGGCTGAGCAGAAAAATGAAATGGTCAGACCTATGCTTTAGATATAACTTTGGCAGCTGGATTGCTTAGACATTTAGTATTATACTCATCTAGGTCAAAAAGTTGGAGGCAAAGACCCCAAATAGGAGGTTATTGCAATAGCCCAGGTGACAGGTGGTGGTCATGTGAGTAGAAGGAAAGAGATGATGTGCCGGTAAAATAGACAGTACTTAGCAACTGATTTATAAAGGGAGGTGGTCTAAGACTGCCAAATGTTGAAGATGACTACAAGGTTAAGAAACAGGGTAATTAGAAGGATAATGCCCTCAATAAAAGTAGGAAAGTAAGGGAAAGTAAATTTAGGAGGAAAGGCTAAGTTATTTTGAACATATTGACTTCAAGATGACAATGGGACACACAGCAGGAAATGTCCAATTGGCAATAAAGGGCTGGAGCTCAAGAGAGGAAGCAAGAACTAAGTATACGAAACTGGGAGTCATCTGCACAGACATAATAAACCCATGGGAGTGGATAAAATCATTCAAAGGTATAGAAGGAAAAAAGAGCACAGGAAAGAGCCCTGAATTTTATCCATAATCTGTGGATGATCCAGAAAAGGAGACTTAGTAGTGGCATATAGGAGAACCAGAAAGAAGAGTGTCACAGAAAACCAGAAAGGCGAGAATATCCAGGAGAAAAGAGCAGCAATAGTATCAAATGCTACGGAGAAGTCGAGAATGAGTCTTGTGAAAAAGTTATCAGATTTGACAATTAAGAGATCATTGATAACTTTGGAGAGAGAAGCTTTAATTAAGTAATTAAGTCAGAAGGCCAATGGTAAGAGGCAGAAGAGTGAGACGAGAGGAAGAGGAAGTAGTGAGAATAGGCGGATTTGTGGGTTTTTTTTTAATCTGTGAAAGCAAAAACAGATATAGGAAGAAAGCTTGAGGGTATGGTAAGGTTAAGTGAAGGCTTTTAAGGATAGCCTAGAGACTTTCATCTACTTTCTGTAGATGAAAGACAAAATACTGTATGTATCTATTTACATGTTGCCTCCCCCATCAGAACATAATTTCCTTGAAAGAAGGAATTGTTTTTTTACTTTCCTTACATCCTTAGCATTTAGCATAGTGACTGGCATGTAGACATTTTTAGATGAATGGGGGGTGAGAGAGTGTGAGTGTGAGAGAGAAAGAGAGAAAGGAGAGAGAGATTGAATAAAAAGAACAGGAAATTATTTGTGGGGCAATCTGTTCCAGGAAATGAGAGGGGATAAGATCAAAGGTACAAGTGGAGGAGTTGGCCTTGGCAAGGGGAAGGGCCATCTTCCAGAAGAGGAAATAATGCCAAGGGGTTTTGAGATATAGGAAAAAACTCATGAAAATGGCCTCTTCTCCAAGTATGAAGAGGAGGGAGAAGGGAGTGGTGTGGTACCCTTGAGGAGATAAGGCATGCATTGTATTTCAGCGAATAAAGCCTAGCACTAAACTCAGAGTCACATTACTTGGGCTTGAAGTCCAGCACTGACACAGCTTCTGTGACCTTAGGTGAGTAACAATTTCCCTGGGCCTCAGTTTCCTAACCTAAAAATAGGAGGATGAACTGATCAGTGATTCTTAAACTATGGGCCATGACCCCATATGGATCAATATTTGGCATTTGACCCCATATGGGTCAATATTTGGCAACAGAAAAAGGTTACTGAACACGCAACAACCAAAAATTAATTCAAAATCAAACGCATAATGAATCCAAAGTGTTTCTGGCAGCACTTGTCCATGCTGCATCATGCAACCTCACTGCAGCCTTGGTTCTGAACACAAAGCATGCACACTTTGCACTGTGCATGCCCTCAGGCCACACAATGCCAACAAATGCTGCCAAAAGGAAAAGAGGTCTCGAGTGGAAAAAATTTGAGAAGCCCTGAACTCGATGATCTAAGGTCTTTTCCAGATCTAAATCTATGATCCTAACAAGAGGTGGGGAACAACCACTGAAGGGAATGCAAATGAATGAATTACAAAAAAGTAAAAGAATGGCCTTGTAATAGGGAGAACACAGCTGAGACTAGGTAACTTAAATTTGTAATGGACCCCATCAGCATGGCTACATGCTTGTGAAGTCATGCTTACATGACTTCTTCCAACACAGGTTAGCAGTAATTTGTAGAAGAAAGGAGTCAGATAGTGGGGATAATCCAAGCTTGGGGTTTGGTAAGACATAAGAGATGTTGGACAAGGGTGCAAGCAATCTACAAGAAAAAGTCAGTATAAAGTTAAACTGGTTAACCAACTGATGAAGATCAGGAAAGGAAGTGAAGCCAGAGCAGGGTTGATGGTCTGGGGAAGGAAAGAATGAATTGAATGAATGAATGAAAAAAAGTTATATATTCATTACTTACTATGTGCAAAACACTATAAAAAGCTCTGGGTATATGAAAGGTTAAGAGTCTCTAGCTGCAAGTCAGATAGAAAGGTCCCAAAGTCTTTAGAGCGTAGCAGCAAAGAAGATGGAAATATCTCTTCTGTTGTTTCCACTGATAAAAAAAAATCTTATCAGCTGCATCATTTGACAATGTCAACGGCTTTGGTAGGAGTAAAGTTTCTTTTCTGGGTCTTCAGTAAGCATGGCTGTAGCATCTGCAGTGGTGGCCAGGCTGCATCTCTATGGTCTGCTGCTTTCCAGGATGATGGCTGAAGGCACCAGGCTAGAAGCATTGCTATTCCAAAGGCTGGTGGGTTCAGGATCCTGGGCTGTCACCTTCAGTGTTTACTGGTTGTTTACATCATTACAACAGGTCTTTGAAACCATAGTGATTCGGTGGTTTTTATAAGACAGGCTTAGTTTATCCTACTTTATTTAATATCACAATTAGATCACTAAGATTCTACATAAACCAAAAATAAATACTCTTACACTAATATTAACTGATTTGGGTAATACATATCTTATGCATAGAATATATGTATATCTGCTCATTCCATCTTTTACAGGAGGCCTTTCCCAACCCTTCTTAATTCTAGTCCTTCCTTTTGTTAATTATTTTCCATTTATCCCACATATAGCTTGGAGTGTGAGTGCTCATGCACCCACAAACGTGCACGTATGTGTATATGTGTGTGTGTGTGTGCGTGCGTGCGTGTGTATTTATGTGTTGTCTCCCTCATTAGATTATAAGTTCCTTGAGGGCAGGAATTTTCTTTTGCCTCTCTTTGTATCCCCAGCACTTGGCACAATGTCTGCTAAGCAATAAATAATTGACTGCTCAATTTATTATATACAAGGTACATTTTTTCATCTTGACTTATGATTTCATTAGTGAAGGAATTGAGGAAAATTACATGCAAAACAACAACCCTTAGGTAACTTTTCTTGAAGAATTGCCCAGGGCCTTGAAGAGGTTCCAAATGATTGCCTAAGATCATACAGTCTGGATGTAACAAAGGCAGGGCTGGAGCCTAGATCATTAGGACTCCAAGTTAACCCAACCTCTCAATTGAGCTGGGTGGAAAGAAGGGCAGCCCTGTGGTCCACAGCTACCTGCAGAATGGAATTCCAGACTGGTCAGCAGTTAGGTATCACAGCGGATAAAGCCCAGAGCCTGGAGTCGGAAAGACTTGAGCTCAAAAATGAAAATACTCCATCTACTGGAGAGTTTTGAATTAAAATAGGTAACTATTCATTGTACAGTTGTTTCAGTCATATCTGACTTCTCAACCCCATTTAGGTTAGCAAAAACTAAATTAACTACTTTTCCCCCAAATATTATGCAAATATAGAAGCAGCTAGGTGGAAAAGTAGGCAGAGCCATGGACTTGAATTCCAGAACACCTAATTGAAAGCTATCCTCAGACACTTACTATCTGTGTAAACCTGAGCAGTTCATTTAACTGGTTTCCCTCCCTTTTCTCATCAGTAAAATGAATATAATAATAGCAATTACCTCCCAGGGTTGTTGTGAGGATCAAATCAGATCATATTTGTAAAGCGCTTAAACACAGTGCCTGGGACATGGTAAGTTCTATATAGATGTTAGCTTTATTATTAGTAGAATTATTATTATTTGGTGCTATGTACAGTAACATAAACTGATCTGGGAAAAATATAGCATATATATCTGTGCCTCTCATCTTTTAAAGGAAGCTTTTTCCAACCCCTCTTAATTCTAGTGCCTTCTCTCTGATAATTAAT